TCTGTCTGTCTGTCTGTCTGTCTGTCTGTCTGTCTGTCTGTCTGTCTGTCTGTCTATCTATCTATCTATCTATCCCTCTCTTTATCTCTCTTACTCACTCTCTTTCTATTTGTCACACCTTCTCCTGTGTTCAAGGGTGGTCACTATGCTGGTGTGCTTTTTAACACTCAAATCTAAAAAAGAAAACTTTTTTAAAAAGACATAGAGAGAGAAAGAGAATGAGTGGAAAACACACAGAGCGAGAGGAAGGGAGGGAGGGAAAGGCGAGAGAGAGAGAGAGAGAGAGAGAGAGAGAGAGAGAGAGAGAGAGAGAGAGAGGCGGGGGAGGCAAAGTAGTTTGTGAGTAATGTAGCTTAATAGCCTCCCGGTTCAAAGTTCCGGAGTAGACATTATGGGTGTGAAAGGATTTATAGCCTATTGTGCTCACTACATGAACTTTCTGTTTTTCTATCTGCTTCTGTGATTCCTGTCAGCATTGCATTAGCCTACTATAACTTCTTAGTATTCTCGGCCGATTGTGTTCTTTGTGGTAACTAAATGCAGCTTCCAAGACATTTGAATTAAACGGCACGTACCCGACCTCTACAAGTACTGTTCCTACCATGCAGGTGGAAAAAAACCCAAGAGATTCCGAGCCCAGTTCAAGAGAGCAATTATTATTTTTTTATTCAAACCAGGTTGAGGTTTGCCTGAAACTGAAAAGAAACACGTTTGTTTTTGAGGCGACCGAGTCGGGTGATCGGCCCGATTCGCCGATCCCATCCGTAGTGGGCACCCCGTAATTGTATAATTCTTACCATAGCGCCAGCCTGATTCTATGGAAGCATGCCAGGCCCACGGCCACACTGGACTCCGCCTAGACTGTGCCCTGCATGAATGAAGTTATCCTTGACACTCTCAAAAAGAGTAAATGAATGATTAATTGATTGTATAAACTGAATTTTTTTTTCAAATTATTCTTAACGAAAGAACATTAACTGTTGAAACTTTACAGAAATTTGCTTTGATTTGCATACAAAAAAGGAAAAAATATTGAACAACACAAGCTGAATTGTCATTTTAGAGTTTAGAAGGACTATCTGAACACCACCATTTTCAACGTGGAGAATAAAAAACAGAAGTTACGACTGCAGTTTTAAAGTGCTGTAATTATGACAAACTGGGCAGCCCTCCGATGTGACGGCACACGTAGGCCATCACTCCTAAGGTATCGGTCACTTGATGGGGGCAGACTACATGTAATGTGTAGATGGTGAAAGATTGGCACAGGCACGGGTCAGGCATTCGGGGGAGGAGTGGGGGAGGGGAGAGAAATCCTAGAATGTTTATTACATTTTGTGTCTAAACGAGAGGGGTAGATATGGGGGTGACATCTGGTACTTGTCGGAACTAGTCGTCGCAGGGGTTGGGCTGTACCATGCTCGTGTAGTTTGGGTTCATAAATTTATTGGTGGCCGGTGGTTATAAGTTATGTCAGTAGACGAACGGAAAGCTAGTGTCAATTCTTTTTAAAATTGTCAAACATTGTTTTTTTTATTCAAACATTGTTTTTCATTTCATGTTTCAGTGGAACACAAAAAAACAAACAAAACAATCATTTTTCTGCTTTGATTGCTTATTTCGATAGCCTTACATGCAACAATAACGGCTGACAACGTTAATGATTGATTCACAAACGATTTATTGTGTTGTGAACACAGAAAGGACGATGTTGTATGTTGAACTCTCCATCAGCAGAGCCCAAAACAAACTACAATAAGCGCTGGCTGTAAGTGGCAAACTGCAGACAACTGCCAAAAGCCTAACGTTGGGCGGATGAGGAAGTGAAAGAGAAAGTCGTGGGTTGGGCAATGTTAAAGGTTAATAAAGGTTGACTCTAACCTTGCTCAGACACTCAGACTTTTGGGTTAGGCTAGTTGTGTCGGGCTTGTTCGAAAGTAGCCACTCAGGTAACTGAAAGTCAAAGAGGAAGGTGAAAAAAAAAAATCCACATGCTTCTTGATGTTGATAACTAATAACTGGGCACGCAGCTGGGTTGATTTCTTCGTAACTTTGACTTTGACTTTGGTAGGCTACCTCATCCCTGTTCTCCACTCTCCTTCCTTTATGTGCCAGTCGGCCAGGTTGCTCAAAGTCAAAGATAAATATCGCGAGTTGTGGATCTCCACTCGTTCCTGGACTCTGACGCTCTAAATTTGTGGATATAAGATTTTAATGATCTCTTAATGGAGAAAGTTGCTGAGGCGTGGTAGATTTCATTAATATATAGGCCTACTTGACAATATTGACACACATGCATGGTCATGGACTCATCAACATTCTGCCCCCCCCCCCTCCTCCTACCCTCTCTCTTTCTGCGTCTCTCTTTAACACACACACACACACACATGCAACAACACAACATGGATGCACACCTACGAATAGTCATTGGACATACAAAATGATGGTATAATCCTGGCACACCTGACAATGACTGAATGGCTCAAAACTCATTAAATCCTAGTCTTTCCCTGTTACAGATCAGGTTGAATTTTCTGAGCAAGTAATTTTACCTCTAGCTGGTCTGTCTCTTCATCTTCTGCCTTACTGGGAACTGACGGTGCACTACCGGGGAATTCCTCCCGATCTGCAAGTTTTATATTCACAATTGCTGGATCTGGGTTATGAACAAGGTATAGGGTTAGGATTGAGTAAGGGTAACCCTTCCCTTACCGTCACTGTCACCCTAACCCTTACCCTATTACCCAAGTCCAGCAGAGATGTGGACGAAACATCCAGATCTGGAAGATTGCCCAACATTTTTTAAATTTTGAATTTTGAATCTGACAACATAGCATCCAATCTCTAGTGTGGTTTGATTTTTCTTTCTTATGAAACATGTATTGTCCGTATCTCTCCTCCTTCCTTTCTTTTGTGTTACTCACTTCTAGAGCAACCCCTCTAATCTTCAGCCTCTCTCATAATGACCTATTTGCCTTGCAATTGCCGTAAAAATCTTAGTAGACTAAACTCTTAACGTTTGTGTGAAAAGTGACCCCACCTCCTCCGCTGGACAGAGACATCCCCGACATGGCCGGTGCGGCGATCCAGGACTCGGACTACAAGTGTTCCCTCTCAGCGGACGTTGAGGACAAAGCCAAGAAGGAGCTGAAAGAGGACCCGAGCACCCGGTTGGTGGAGGTGAAGAACTTGAGGACCAGAGTCGGGAAAATACCAGGTGAGGCTCTCACTACTGGCTCTCTGTCTCTCATACATAAACATACTCTCTCTCAAACACACCACACACACACACACACACACACACACACACACACACACACACACACACACAACTCCCCCCTCTCTCTATCATAAGAAACACACACCACACAGACATACACACACACTCACGCTCTCACACACACACACACTCTCTCTCTCTCTCTCTCTCTCTCTCTCTCTCTCTCTCTCTCTCTTTCTCTCTGCATCATTTGTGTCACTAAGAGATGGAATCAGATGCTCGTAAATTTTTGGACATATATATATATATATATAGAGTAATTGTTATCATCTTAATGCTTAAACATTTGTCTTGCTGTTGATGGAACAAAAATTCCTTCTATCTTTATTAGAAGTCGAGATATTTGCAGTTGAAGGAGGTGGGGGTCGTCTTGTGTCAGAGGTAAAATCAGGGAGAAAATGGCCACCAAAGTTTACTGACTTCTTAAGATTAGGTGTTTAAATTTTTTGCATGCCTTTAATATTTTTTTCAGTAAAACCTACTCAGAATGTGTTTTAAATGTACATAAAAGGTGTTGAGCCAAAACATGAACATGAAAAAAGAATAGCCTACGATTAGAAAATGCCAAATTCTTTGATTTATTATTTTGACGAGCACCTGATTTCACCACAATGTCTGACATTTTTTCCCCTTTGTAGCATCTCTGAGCTTTACTTACTTACTTACTTGTCCACTGTGTTGGGGTCACTGCAGTCAGAATGTGTCCATCTCTGCTCTCCCCCCCTCTTCAGGATCCATCCCAGAGTCTGTCTACTTATAGTCTCCTTCATGATCTGGTTGGAGATCCGTCGGACTGGTCCGCACAGATGGCTGTGTTTCCCCTCTCCTCTTTGGATCCCCTTCTGCTTCAATCTCTCTAGAGTATGGGAACCGCTATCCGCCCTCTTCTTCCTCAAATTTTCCCTTACAGCGGTTAGGACGGTTGGTGGGTCCAGTATCAAATTCCCTCCCACTTTTGCTTCTCCAGCCAGCTTGTCTGCTCTCTCGTTGCGGGTTACCCCCCGCATGACCCGGGCAGAATATCCAGGCCACTCTTTCCAGGCTGTTTCCCTGATCATAGCCTTCCAGTCCACATACAGCATCCCTTTCTGTACCTTCTGTAGTGTGCTCATTGAGTCAGTAATGATTACTGCTCGCTGATGGCTTGTGTTCTTGATCCAGTGTAGAGCTTCACTTATGGCTTTTATCTCCATACACATACTTGATGTTGTCACTGCAATTGCTCCACTTTGCTCTTTCACTACTACCCCATCAACTCTGACACTGAAGGCCCAGCCCGATTTGACTCCTCTGTTGACTGATCCATCCGTGAAGATCACAGCATCTCCATGTTCACTATGCTCTTCTATGAGGGTTTCAATTTCAGCGTTTGTAGCTCCAAGTGGCCAGTTGCGACATTCTCTACCCAATGTTGCCTTCACTGTTGTGTACTCTCCGAGCACATCATCGACCACAACCCAATCCCTGCCTCTGAGCTTTGAATATAACTAACGCATTGTAAACCAAATTTTATGGAAGAGAAAGAAAAGTGTCCTTTTTTTTTCTTTCCTTTAAGATTTTTCTTTGTTTCTCCCAGGTCTGAAGACCCGGACTGACCTCCCTTTTCTTCTGTCGTTCCTGCGGGCTCGTAAGTTTGACCAGGAGCGCTCGTACCAGCTGGTGAAGAACCACTATGAGGTGAGGAAAGACATCGAGTTCTTCGGCGACCTGAAGCCGTCTCGCATCAAGCACGTTATCGAGGACGGTGTGGTGGAAATTTTGGAGCATCCAGACAACAACGGATGTCGCGTTATGGTTCTGCGTCCAGGTGAGGTCCTGTGCTTGCCCTTATTAGCTCTTGACCATCCTTCTGGTCAGTCTAGTTTGATGATAGTAACTTAAGGTAACAGGGGATGATATCTGGTTTGATGATAGTAACATAAGGTAACAGGAGATGATATCTAGTTTGATGATAGTAGTAACAGGAGATGATATCTGGTTTGCTGATAGTTTTAACAGGAGATGATATCTAGTTTGATGATATCTGGTTTGATCAGAGTAGTAACAGGAGATGATATCTGGTTTGATGATAGTAGTAACAGGAGATGATATCTGGTTTGATGATAGTAGTAACAGGAGATGATATCTGGTTTGATGACATTAACATGTGGTAACAGATTTGATATTTGGTTTGATAATAGTAACATAAGACAACAGAGGATGATATAGCTTGTTGATGATTGTGATAGCAGTGACATTAAGTAACAGATTTGGTATCTAGTTTGATGATAACAGTGACATAAGGTAGCAGATTTGATATCTAGTATGATGATGGAAACATCAGGTAACAGATTTGATATATAGTTTGATGATAGTAACATAAGGTATCAGGGGATGATATTTACACAAAATTACAAGTGATGAGATAGACTTGATTGATACTCCAAGGTCAGAACTTGACATTGTGATTTCCCCAGCTTCTGTGACACAAAATAGACATTTGATATTCTCTTTCTCTCTCTCTCTCTCTCTCTCTCTCTCTCTCTCTCTCTCTCTCTCTCTCTCACCCTCTCTCATTCTCTCTCACCCTCTCTCATTCTCTCTCACCCTCTCTCTTTCAATAACTTTCTCATACAAACACACACAAACACGCATTCACACGAACACACTCAGATATATATGCAAGCAAGCACGCATGTGTGCGTGCACACAATCACACATGCGCATGCACATGCACACACACACACACACACACACACACACACACACACACACACACACACACGCACACACACACACACACAAAATGAAGAACTTTTTCAAATAATTTCCATTTTTTATCATTCAAATAATCGGTTTTTGTAAGGGAAGTTCCATTGTAAAGTTGGTCACCACACCACTTAGTACTTTCATTTGTCCCGTCTCACTGATCTGCTGTCTACGTCCAGCACGATGGGACCCCGACCGCTACCCGATGACAGACATGCCCAAGGCGTTTTACCTCCTGCTGTGTTACCTTGCCCGCGTGAGTACGCAGCTTCTTGTCATGTGTGCATGAGTGGTTGGCGGGTACTTTGAAGTGGCTTGCTCTTTCCTTCCTCCCACCCACCCATGCAGACACTCGTACATATATATATATATACAATACACACATCACACGCTTATGTATGTTTGTATGTGTGTTATATATATATATTAACAGATACAGAGAGAAAGAGTGACACATAGAGTGAGAGATTGGGAGAGGGAAAGAAAGAGAGAGTGTGAGACAAAAATACAAAGATAAAGAGAAACAGCAAGACAACGTTGCCTCTGGTGAAGTGGTTAGGCGCTTTGTCGTCACATGATAGAAGACTTGAGTTTGATTCCCATGTGGGGAATAATGGTCAATATGATGTAAAAGAAAAAAATGGATGAGGGAAATGGAAACTGTCCGTTTGTACAGGTGATTGTCTTATACAGGTGGCTGTTAGAGCAAGTTCGACTGTATTTCTATGACGTTTAAAGTATATACTATGTGAATACCATTTGATTACTATTAGATTATGTAAGTAGGGCCTATTAAAGTAGCTAACATTATTATTCTTTACTATAACTGTTGGTTAATATCTGTGTGACAGTGGGTTCGTTTGTGAGTGTAAGCTTCTTTAATATATATTATATTATGTTTGAAAGGGAGGATGTGTGAGAGGTATGTGTGAATAGATGTTCATGTGTATGTGTGTGTCTGTTTCTTTTCCTTCCCTCTTTTGTTTTTGCCTGTGTGTGTGGCTGGTTGCCATTGGTAGGTCCTATTTCTTTCCTTTCCCTCTGTTGTTCCTGTCTGTCTGTCTGTCTGTCTGTCTGTCTGTCTGTCTGTCTGTCTGTCTGTCTGTCTTTTTCCTTGCACTAAATTACCATTATTGTTTCCTTATTATGCTTTTCTTTACTCAAATAAACAAAGAAATAAACAAGCAAATGTGGATGGTTGACAGGTGCTCTGGTGTAGTTTGCTCCTTCTTTCCTTTCAAATATCTATCGTCTTCATCTCTCCTCCTTCTTTTCTTTCTTTGTTACGCTCTAGTAATATTTTTAATCTTGGGCTTTTATATGACCTAATTGTTCTGCACATGCAGTAAAACTCATACTAAAACAAAACTGACCAAACAACCCCAGGATGAAGAGGCACAGGTCCACGGTGTGCATGTTATCAACAACCTGTCCGACTTGACTTGGAAACATGCGTCCAACATCAATCCGTCATTTGCCAAGAAGACCTTGCACATTCTGCAGGTAAATAGTTTTGTCTCTTCCTTTGTTGACCTGTGTGGGTGGTAGGAGGGTGCCGCTGATGATTCTCACTTCTTTTCCTTCTCTCTGTTGTTTATGTCTGTCTTAATTGTCTGTCTTGCTCTTTCCCAGCGCAAAATGACTCTTCTTGTGTTTTTGTGCTTCTCTTTGCTCTCTCATTTCTGTGTATCCACCTTACTTTTTCCCTGCACTAAAATTGGTTTTATTGTAGGGATGTTTCTCTTTACAGTGTTATTTTTTCCATCTGTTTTACTTTTTCTCGACACCAAATGACTATTATTGTGTCGATGTACTTCTCTTCACTCAAAGTCCAACGACCTTGGTATGTGCGAGGCTGTGAGGAAACCCGTCTAAGGTTGCAGACCATTTTAAGCTGTTTTGTTAAAAAAGACCTGAAACTATTATCAGAAGCAGGATTTTATGAAGTGTAGAATGGTAAGTTATTTATTAGTTATAGTTATAAATTAAAAGGATTTTGCTCAAATACTTTAAAAAATTAATTTCTCAACACATCAATGTAAGGACACACAGGGCCCCAAGTTTGCTCAAATCTGGTCGTGTCTCTCCGGTGGGTGGACACAAACTCTAAGGTTCAGGTACCGGGGATTTTCTCAACCTGCCAGCGGTGTCCCTGTGTCGTAATGTTTGAAAGGAAAGCCTTGTATGTCTCTATGTGTGTCTCTCTGTATGTCTCTCTAGGTGTGTCTCTCTGTACGTCTCTCTGTATGTGTCTCTGTACGTCTCTCTGTATGTCTCTCTAGGTGTGTCTCTCTGTACGTCTCTCTAGGTGTGTCTCTCTGTATGTCTCTCTGTACGTCTCTCTGTACGTCTCTCTGTATGTGTCTCTGTACGTCTCTCTGTACGTCTCTCTGTATGTCTCTCTGTATGTCTGTCCTGTGATGTCCCTGTATTGTAGTGTAGTGTTTGAGAGGAAAGCCTTGCATGTCTCTCTGTATGACTCACTGTGTCTCTCTGTATGAATCACTGTGTCTCTCTGTATGACTCACTGTGTCTCTGTGTATGACTCACTGTGTCTCTCTGTACGTCTCTCTGTATGTCTCTCTAGGTGTGTCTCTCTGTATGTCTCTCTAGGTGTGTCTCTCTGTATGTCTCTCTAGGTGTGTCTCTCTGTATGTCTCTCTAGGTGTGTCTCTCTGTATGTCTCTCTAGGTGTGTCTCTCTGTATGTCTCTCTCGTGTGATGTCCCTATATTGGAGTGACTAAGAATAAAGCTGTGTACTTCTCTTCAGGAAAGTTTGTGCTTTCACTTTCAGGATGTGGTCCCTCTGAGGCTGAAGAGATTGGACTACGTGAATGAACCGACTTTCTTTGACATCATTTTCTCCATCATGAAGCAGTTCATGAAGGAAAAACTGGTGAAGAGGGTGAGTGAAGACAAATGATTGGAAGGCCTGCTGACAAAATGTGTTACTTCTCACAATCTGGGAATGGAGATGTTGGTTGAAAATCAGCACACGCTTCAAATTTGTAGATTTTTAACTGATGCCATTTTCTTCAAGTTAAACATGTCTTTTATAATTTCACTTTGATAAGTTGTACAGACCCAATCTATATTGAATATATCTTTGTCGGTAGGGCCAACACCGGAGAAGTAACTTATTTTGTCCACATGCATCAGGTTTTACTTTTTTGTCTTGACCTTTGGACCGTGATGAAGGAAACTTTATTTATATTTAGCCTATAATTCTTCGTTTAGAGAATTTTAATTTTTTTATCATTATTTTTTTTCCAATAAAGAGCTGTCATGGTGAGGTGTCAGGGAAAGGAAATGTTTCACAATCAGTCGGAGAGCAAACAATGCTGATAAGAAAATAAGAACAACAGTGCAGCCTCTCTAAAATGCCCTTCGATATAATGACTTCCTCTGTATAGCGACATGGTTCCCAAGTCCCGATTTTTCTCGTATATATCATTAGTAATAATTTTGGTTGCCTTTCTATAGCGGCAACTCTCTATAACGACATTTTTTTTATGGTCGCGGCGATATCGTTACAGAGAGGCTGCTCTGTTTCACTTTAGGTTCCTTTTGAACCTCTAAAGGAACAGAGCTAAAAATAGAATTGTGTGTGTCTAAGAAAATGATTTTGTTGTCAGGACATGTGTAGATTGCTCATTTTGCTTTTGCGTTTTGTTGCATTGTCGACTTTCTCTCCTTCATCTTTCTTTCCCTCTTTATTTTTATTTTTCTCCTTCTTCTTCTTTTTTCTTTTTTTCTTTCTTCTTTTTCTTATCATTGTTCTTCTTTTTCCTTCTCTCCTTATTTTTATTCTTCTAGCAGTGGTGGGTGGGTGACCAGTTTTTTTTTTCTTCTAATTTTATTGTGATTATTAGTCTGTGTTTTTAAAAAAGATTGTCGTGATAATTGTCCCTATTTTAAAAAAAAAAATTTTCATGATAGTCCATTTATACTCTTTAACATTTTAAACTTCAAATCTCATATTAAAGGCAATATCTTGATTAATGCTTATCAAATTGGTCTGAAAATTTCAGATAAGACAGTGCATTCATTTTACAGCTAGGGAAACACTTGGAATGCAAAGTTCAGAATGTTTTAAATCTGCAATTTTGAATTTATAGTTGTCGGGGGGTCTAACTGAGAAGTAACAGCTTTCAGTTGCGTGTGATGACATATAGCATTGTTCACATGTTCACATAGTCGACGCATGGGCGGGATGAATCGAGGGATGTTTTGTTATTGAGGGATGATGTTTCACTCTTGAATTAAAGCTTGTTCTAACTGAGCAAGAGACCAGGGGCAGGCGTGGGCTGGCACAAATGGCGCGGTCTAAAATGTACGGCAAGTGCTCCATTGGATTGAGATTTTTAGTGAATGTGCTGGTCATGGGTGCAGGGGAGGAATGTTGTTAGTTTTGAGATATTGATTTGTCACAGCAGCTTTATGAGCAGGTGCATTATCATGCATGATTGTCCTTGGGCTTGATTTTGAAAGAAAAGTACTTTGGGCTCCAGAACTTTTGATTACTGATTTAGCTTTTAGCTGTTATGCTCCCACGAATAGAGACACAAACCTGGTCTCGCAAACATGACTGATTCCAGCTCACACCATGACACAATCTCCACGGAAATTATTTGCTTGTCTGAAGCAAGCTGGGATGAAAATTTTGGTTTGGTCTTCTGTAGATTCTGGCTCGGACACCGTGCCTTTCCAGTTGAAATTGAGACTCATCTGAAAAAATGTACATATTCCAAATACGACGTGCCCATCACCCACGACACTGTGCCCTGTGAAGTCTGTGCTGAATGCGATGGGGCTGCAGTTTTATGCCACAAACTAGGCCCCTAGCACTAAGGTTCCCCTTTTTCAAACGAAAAAGAACAGTCATGACAAAGATCAAACTGTTATTTCTAAGTCTATTCGACTCATCCTGGGTCTTTGTTTGCTGGTTGAAATTGATTTCTCAAGAGTTGTGTTAGGATGAATGCGTCCACCCTCCGTTTTGTCTTTCTGCGTCCTACTCGTTTGGGTCTGTCCTTTTGGGAGCCTATCGTTGCCATGTGATCCAGTGTGGCATACACAGTGTGTCTGTTCACATTGAACCTTCTCGCAACTAATGAAAATAGAGTGCCCACCTGAAGCATTTCAGTGAAGTGATTTATTTCTGATTCATTTAGCCGAAGCATGGTGAATCGATAAAGAGAAGCCACTTTTTTATGTGGCGAAAAAATTTGAAGGAGTCTAGTTTTGCATTTGTAGTTTTGTTTTCAAAGTTACCCACACATTTTCAAAGTATTTGACAAAATATAGAAACCCTATTAATGACATCGTCAGACAAAACGATTGACCAGTGCACCCTAGTGAGTACAGTTGACAAACGGCAATGAGCTTGCATGACATCTGTAAAAATTCCAAAGCAATTGGATGTGTAGTTTTTTCAGCTACACGCTCTTGAAATGTGTGAAGTTAAATATGTTAGAGAGTATATAATCAAATATTGTTATGATAAATGATGATAGTCCATATTGTTTTTTTAAGATCCATTTTAACGGAGAGAAACGGGACATGCTGCATGCGTCCATCAGCCCAGACTTCCTGCCAACGGATCTGGGGGGAAAACTGGCACCGTACAGCAACAAGGTCAGTGCCTCTGTGATGGTGGGCTAGTTGGTGGCTCGTCTTCGTCTCCTCCTCTTTCTTTTTCTTCTTTCTCCTCAACCTCCTACTTTTTTTTCTCTTCTTCCTCTTCTTCTTTCTCCTCGTCCCTTTTTTTTTACTTCTTCTACTTCCTCTTCTTTTTCTTCTTGTTTCTCCTCCTCCTCTTTCTCCTCCTTCTCTTTCTTCTTTTTCTTCCTCCTAGATGGTGTAAATTGTGTTGATTTGGGCGTTGAAAGATCTTAAAATCTTTTTTCGTGGGTGATTGGCAGGTGCTCTGGTGTGGTTTGCTCCTTTCCCATAAACCTCAACCGTCTATTGTCCTTATCTCTCCTCCTTTTTTTGTATAATACTCTTTAGTAAGTTAACACTTTTAATCTTTACATATAAAATATATATATTTACATAAATGACCTGTTTGTGTTGCAAGTTCGCTTACTAAAACCAATCTTTTTTCTCTTTTACTGGTACAGATTTAGGATGATACGGGAGAAATAGTTGTAGGAAGTTGGCAGGAATGTATGTGACCAGGACTGTTTTATTTGATACTTATAATATAATATACTCTGTTGTTGCAGAGATGTATGTGACCAGGAATGTTTTATTTGATACTTATGATATAATATACTCTGTTGTTGCAGAGATGTATGTGACCAGGACTGTTTTATTTGATACTTATAATATAATATACTCTGTTGTTGCAGAGATGTATGTGACCAGGACTGTTTTATTTGATACTCATCATACTCTGTTGTTGCAGAAATTCATGGATGCCTTCCTGGCATCTGACAGCAGTTTCGAGGAGGACAACAAGTTTGGGTTTCTCAACATGAGCCTGGACAAGGACCAGAAGGAGAAAAAGAATGCAGACGCTGGGATGGCTGGCCTGGGAGGAATGTTCCGGAAACTAGATATCTAGTTGTCTCGCACACAACTGTTTGTGGCTTAGTTGAGCTGCATTGACTTAAGACCTTTTTAGAACTTGTACTTGAACAGGTTTGTGCTGATGTTGCTTCCTTTCTGTGTGTTTGGGAATAAATTGGGGCACGACGCGGTGGAATCAGGCTCTTGTCAATTTTTGGGCTAAGGGAGTTGATGGTATCATCTTAGGGCCTGTCCACTCTCCTTGTTTTAGGTGAAAATAATATCCATCTATGTTGAATAGAAGTCGAGATATGTGTGTTTGAAGGAGGTGAGGGTCATCTGGTTTCAGAGATAATATTAGCGAGAAAATGGCCGCCAAAGTTGAGTTATTTCTTTAGCTTGAGAGTCCGTGGAAACTGAAATTTTACATTTCTTCTGTCTTTAATCAACGTTTTTCAGTAAAATCCACACAGAAATGTGTTCTTTAATGGGCATGAAAGGTGTTGAACCAAAAAACGAAAATTTGATGAAAACTCCCAAACTTGCAGGAAAATGCCAATTTTGTGACTTTCATTATTTTGACGAGTGCCTGATTTCACCGTAATGCCTCACAATTGCGGTTACGTTGTCCATGATGTGATGATCATTTTAAAAAAGATTAACAAGACTTTGCTTTCTGGCAGGAATCAAAGCGCTACTGGTAGGTCAGGACAGTACAGTACTAGGAATAAAGAGCAGGAATCTTAGATACTTATAAGTTTAAGTTTAACAAAACTCAGAAAAATCCAAAAGATATATGCAATGATTTTGGAAACTGGAAGAACTTAGGAAGGTGTGATAGGCGATCTTCTTATTTGTCTACTTACATTAGTTTGGAATGTTTTTCTTCTTCTTTCCTCAAATCTCTGCCATCATCATTTACACATCATCTTTGAGTTTGAGTCTCTTGGCAAAATTATCATTGGTGTGAAGTTCTGCTCTTTGTCAATTAAGCGATTTAACAAAATTTGTAAATGTGTGGCAACATTACAAAATGTACAATGACCAGTGGCTATAGCTAGTGCATCTGCAAGTCAGGGAAATGTTCTAGTTTTACTGCTCTCGTGTGTCCAGTTCTCTCTTTGTTCCTCAGGACTTTATTAAAATGTTCTTTGTTCTACTTAATACATTGACATATAGACATGTGAGGAACTTTATAATGTTCTCTGTTCTACTTAAATACATTCACATGTAGCTCTGTGAGAGACTTTAATATTCTGTTCTACTTAAATAAAAACATTCACATTGCATCCTAGTGAGGGACTTTATAATGTTCCTTGTTCTAGTAGTTCTACTTAATAAATACATGCACATGTAGCCATGTGAGGGACTTTATAATATTCTCTGTCCTACTTAAATACATTCACATTGTATCCATGTCAAACGACTTCTTTTGTTGACAAGACAGTGAAATGTTTCACAAAGCATTATATTGTTATGTAGTTATACTAAATTTATGTATTGATATTTGTTTTTGATACTCTATTTTTTGAGGGGCTTGCAGTGTTGTGGACTTACATTTGTGTGCAAGACTTACATTAGACTCCCTTACAGCTTACAGCTTACAGCTTAGCTTACAGAACAGTTTGTTTGAGAGATCACAGCTGGAAGTTGAGGTTAGCTTATTGTTCACAGTGTTCTGTAATGTCTTGTTCCTCTAAGCGTCCTACTGGGGTCATTGTGTGTTCATTCGTTGGAGTAGGCCTACCTTTTTCTGCCTGGAACAAATTGAGGTCACTTGACCAGTCCGTTTTTGTAATTTCTCAAGAATGGACAAGCTAAGGTCAAATTCGATTATATTTGGTATGTTTTTGTATAAAAATTTGACCAGAAGTAGATCTAGGGATATAATGTCAGATTTAACCATAAAAAAAATGTGTTTGAAGAAATTAGCCTGGCTGAATTTTTGCCCCACTGCATGAAACTTGACAGAAGAATTTTTCTGACTCTTGTAAAGCTAACAATACAGACTCCTGTTGTCAACAGTAGGATGCAGGACTTTGGTATGAACTCAAGCGAGTGAGATAGAAGAATTAGGTTGGTCTGAGCACTAGCGGGTGACCCAAGAATTAGACTGGTTTATCTGTCTGGCAGAAGGATGGGGACAGATGCTAGTGGGTCTGTGGGTGAAATCTGTGAGCAGTTGGTAAATGACCGATGATTGTCACCTTGTATCCTGTCTGTGTGTGACTCGTTTCTATGTCATGTTAACTTACAGTGATGCCAATAAAATGTGAGTTGTTGGGAGTTTTTAAAAACAATTTATTGATTTAAAGCTGGTATGAATAAGTGATTACCAAGGATTTATTTATTTATTTTTGTTGTGAAGTTATCATCATCTTGACAACTAAAAGTACTTGTAATTTGTAGTCTACACGTACAATGGACGATGAATGAAAATTTTTCAACTTTGTTTTTGCTGTTGTTTGAAGTTGAAGGGTTCTGATTCTATGATTATGATTTGACAACTCAAATCTGAGGTATAAAAAACTGATGGATAATGAATCGTCATTTTGATGTGTGTTTGTAAAAGCATTTCTTTTTGTTCCCACGCAATATCGGCAAATGTATGACATGTCACTTTGTGTGTGATATTATGATTGTCACTTCCTGTGCAATATCGACAAATGTATGAATGTCAATTTGTGTGTGATATAGGCAAATGTATGGTTGTCACTTTTGTTCCTGTGTGATTTGCAGTCGGCTCATGTGTATGACAACAGTAGAACATGACTACAGCGGCACCCACTATAGTAGGACCATCCCTACAGCGGGACATTACCGGAATCCCCGTTTTTCTTCCTATGTGAACTCAATAACTTATGCTTGGACATAGCGGGACAAGGAAAGTCCCGAACTCGGATACAGTGAGAGAGATCGAGCTAGATCTAGCTCAGAAGGGTGGGGGTCGTAGGCAGGCTCCAAACAGGCAGTCAGCATTGTGATTGGCTAGCCCAGTGATGAGTGAGGTGGGGCAGGCGATAGGCCTAAATTGAGATGGTGCGGAGAGACAGGTTACGTGAACCACTCCAAACGTGATGTAGATCTGTAAAAGCCCTAGCCCAGGCCAAAAAGTGAAAGAAGAGGAGAGTGTGTAGTGTGTGATTCCTGGTTCATTGAATTGCGATCACTGATGCTCAGGCATACGCACGCATACACTTCACCAGTTCTACAGTAGGCCTACTGGTACGATAGACAGCACAAGCAACAAACCAAGGAAAATATGGCTTCCAACAAAGACCGGCAAAAGTTGGACTGTTGCATTTGTCTTGGCAGTATTGTAACTCATGTGTCAACCCTGTTGTAAGCATTTTAAACAATTTAACCCAGAGACGGAAATCATAGACTTTTGTAATATGCCTTCATTTTTACTGGGCAGAGGAGGATTTTCTACGGTAGTACATAATATTATAGGTCTATGATGTACACACTGTGCCCGACTTCTTATTGTGATGCTGTTTTCTCAAGTGAGTTAGTCATTGTCTGTGTGTCTATGTCCTGCAGAAGTGACCATTTCTCTGTATGGTTTGTGAAGGACAGAAGTGACCATTTGTCTGAGTGGTTTGTGAAGGACAGAAGTGACCGTTTGTCTGTGTGGTTTGTGAAGAAGTGACCATTTGTCTGTGTGGTTTGTGAAGGACAGAAGTGACCATCTGTCTGTGTGGTTTGTGAAGAAGTGACCATTTGTCTGCGTGGTTTGTGAAGGACAGAAGTGACCATTTGTCTGTGTGGTTGTGAAGGACAGAAGTGACCGTTTGTCTGTGTGGTTTGTGAAGAAGTGACCATTTGTTTGTGTGGTTTGTGAAGAAGTGACCATTTGTCTGTGTGGTTTGTGAAGAAGTGACCATTTGTCTGTGTGGTTTGTGAAGGACAGAAGTGACTGTTTGTCTGTGTGGTTTGCGAAGGCGTGACCATTTGTCTGTGTGGTTTGTGAAGGAGTGAAGTGACCATTTGTCTGTGTGGTTTGTGAAGGACAGAAGTGACCGTTTGTCTGTGTGGTTTGTGAAGAAGTGACCATTTGTCTGTGTGGTTTGTGAAGGAGTGACCATTTGTCTGTGTGGTTTGTGAAGGAGTCAAGTGACCGTTTGTCTGTGTGGTTTGTGAAGGAGTGAAGTGACCGTTTGTCTGTGTGGTTTGTGGAGTGAAGTGACCGTTTGTCTGTGTGGTTTGTGAAGGAGTGACCAAGTGTCTGTGTGTTTTGTGCAGAAGTGATCATTTGTCTGTTTGGTTTGTGAAAGACTGAAGTGATCATTTGTCTTTGTTGAGTGTACTGCTGACTTCTGTTGCCATCTTTCTCCTTGTCTTTGTTTTGTTTGGTTGTATTTGATTTTGATGTATATCGTCGACTTTGTGATAAGACCAGTGGCTAACCCAGAAAATATAAATTCTTTCTTTATTTGATGAATTGACTGTAAATTATCTGCTTCGTATGCTCAGTCCAAGACAGACAGTCTGACAAACAGGTCTGAGTGGAGAAATAAAGTTGAACAACCCGCCAGCCACCCAGTCGCTGCATGATGACACCAAATAACTCTCTGCTTCTCCCGTAAAATATAATTCACTGGGGTTAGCCGGTCTGCTCACAAGAGTGACAGTATGTGGTTGTAGATCTATAACTACACCCATCATCAACACTTGAGTGTGTAGTGTGTTCATCGATTTGCTGTGCTGTTGCCTCTGTATTACTGTTATTTTACCGGTATTATAGTGTTATATATTTTTGCCATGGCAAGCTGTCTGATATTGTCCCACGCTGCTGACCACAACGGGGACTCCTATTTTGGACCTCAGAAAACCACATGTTTTCAAGTTTTTTTATTTCCCTTTTTCAATTTACAACACTTGTGATTTTTTTATAATCTGACACTACTAAGAGCCTATTTCATGAAAAACTGTTTACTCTTTATGCTGATTTTATTGATATATATTGTATAATTATGATTTTTGTCATGCTTTTGTGGCACTTTTGCTTTCAACATATCATACTGGCAAATCCTTCCAGATGAGGTGGACCTAGAGTTTTTCTCATGCAGATCACAAGGAATGTATCACGCCCAGCCTGTAGGAAAGATATTTTTTCTATCCATGTACACATTTTATTATCCTTCCCTGGTTCTGGTTTGATGATTATTGATCGTAAAAACCGGATTTGTATTTATCCTAAGATAGATCACCACAGTCTTATTCTATACACATGTATTCATGATTTTGGTTTTAGTTTTTTCTTTGCTCTTGAGAAGAATAAAATTTTATTTACAGCATAGACATTGAGTGTGAGCATTTTTAATTAGTACTGTGAGTGTGAGCA